ACACTACCATGTCCATAGGTAGTGATTTTCCTACTTATCCAAAGAAAAGCAGTGGATGCAGATCCCCCTTCATCTATGAAGAGAGGGACACCAAAAACCAAACTCACTGCCAAGTCAATTTCAACTCATAGAGACCCCTCCTTGGGTTTCCGAGGCAGTATCTCTACAGAAGTAGATTGCCCAACCTTCCTTCCGAGGAGTGGATGGAGGGTTTGAACCACTAGCCTTCTGGTTAGCAGTCAAGTGCCTTAGGCACTATGCCAAAAAGAAGGATGGATATCTCTAAATGAAAGGAGGGCATTGCAAAATTCTTTAATTATAGACTCAAAGGGGCTTTGAGTTAGTTCATCTTGTATCTCCTTGGCTTTCAGCAGGACAGCATTAAGCCTTCCTCAAAAGATAAAAGAAAACCTATTTTCAAACACACCTAAGAGGGCATTCCAGTCTTCTTTTCCTTTGCTAGACAGCGGAATATTTTTTTTCCATTTCTAACCTCACCACAGGTGGAACTTTCTCCTTACTAGGCATCCCCTGAAGCCTTCACATTAGAGTTTGGCTTGGTTTGCTCAATGGAGACTGTGAATAGCCACACATACTTTCAGTCTTTTCTCAACTATACTTCCATCTGTTCACCTGTGTGAAATCCTACCAGTTAGGACCTTTGGGTTTTCACTAATACTAATACAGAGTTAGATGCCACCTGAATCACACACCGGCGTTCTGGAAACTGGAAGGGACTCCTTTCCTCTTTTTTTTTTTTTTTTTTAAATACCTTTTCCTTTCCCTGCTATCAGCTTAAATGCTAACTTTTCTCCCTTCCACAGCTGTCTTCCAACACCCCTCCACACCCTCCCCCCACTACAATAGATGTACACACTTTGCTGGTAAATAGAAAAACATTCTGAAACAGCTAGTTAATACTTGGGCCTTAGCCATCTAGGATAATGGTTAAAGACAGAGATTTTGGAGCTCATTGTCCTGTCTCTGAGACCTTGGGCACATTATATAACCTCACTACGTATCAATTTTCTCATCTGTAGGATGGAGCAGTAACAGTTGTTGTTGCTGGTATGTGCCATCAAGCAGACTCCGACTCATAGCAACTATGTACAATAGAGCGAAACACTGCCTGGTCATGCACCACCCTCACAATCCCTGCTATACTTCAGCCCCTCATTGCAACCACTGTGTCAATCCATCTTGTTGAGGGTCTTCCCCTTTCCTGCTGACCCTCTACTTTACTAAGCATGATATCCTTCTCCAGGAAATGATCCCTTTTGACCACTTCACCTGGATACAGTAATAGTATCTACCTCGTTTTTTTAAAAAAAGCCAGCGTCCCTCAAGTAGATTCCAATTCATGTGACCTCTAGTGTCAGAGCAGAGCTGTGCTTCATAGGATTTTTAATGTCTGACTTTTCTAAAACAGATCTCCAGCCTTTCTTCAGGGGCATCTTTGTGTGGACTCAAACCAACAACCTTTCGGTTAGCTGTGTAGTACATTAACCATCTGTGCCACTCTGAGACTCCATCTTTCAGACAGAGTTGTGGAAAGGTTCAAGGTTAAGGTTCAAGACTTAACACATGAAAAACCCTTAGAATGGTGTCTGGTAGTCTAATTGAAAACACTATGTAATCGTTGGCTATGTTACTATCATTGTTATACTCTTCTTGCTGCAAAGGGATATTCAGAGCCATCAAATTATCTCTGATAGTCCGGAAGGCAAGAGTTTGAGAAAGAAAAGGAGTAAGGCTCAAGTTTAAAGGAATTGGGTAAGGCAAGAACAGGTACCAGGGTGAAAGAGGAAAGGCAAAAGACAAAAGTAAATAGAAGATGGAACTAAAACAACAGAGAAAGGGCAAAAACAGACATCAAAAAAAGTAAAAACAGACAAACATGGGCGAAAAATATAAAGATGAAATGGGGAAATAAGAGTAAAAAAAAAAAAAGTAGCCATGAGAAGAGAATGACAGAAGGAAAAAAGGAAGAAGAAAAGGAGGTCAGAGAATGAAAAAAACTAAAAGAAAGAAAAGATTCCATTTGCAGCTTGAGCTGGTTATCTGAAAAGGAAAGGAATGGAATAGCAAACAAAAAATATTGGATCTAGAGACAGGAAGGGATGGGGCAGATGGGGAAGAGAAGATAGAAGTGATAACAGACAAAAAGGGGCTTCATTTTCTACCCTAGGCGGCTGTCTTTAAATTAAGGGAAATTTGCATTTTCACTTACACTTTTTTAGGTTCTTTGCCCCCGTGGATCCTTTCCTTGTTCTTCCTATTTTAAATTGCTTCAGGGTTAGCCCCAGACTTGGTCCCTGATGGCCTTGGTCAGAAGTCGGCCTTACGCCTTATCTGCTCTGCTGACAAGGCCAACATGCACTGGTCTAGTCTTATTTCATTCTCACTTAATAGCTGTCATTTTCAAGTGAAATTTAGCTGTAAATATTTATACCCTCTTCCTTCTCCAAACATTCAGGGGAGCTCGTTCCTTTTTTTTTTTTTTTTAAATTCACCTCAACTAGGAGCTCTGGTAGCATAGTGGCTAAGTCACTTGCCTGCTAACCAGACGGCTGGCGGTTCAAACCCACCAGCCACTCCTCGGAAGGAAGGTTGGGCAATCCTACTTCCGTAGTGATACTGCCTCGAAAACCCAAGGAGGGGTCGCTATGAGTCGGGGACGACTCGACGGCACATAACAACAACAACAACAACAACATTTCGTTTGAGTCAGTTAAGACAAGAGGAAAACGTGATACAGTAAAAGCCAGGAAATACCGCTTTTTAGGCCTCCATTTCCACTTGGAAACAGGAGAGAGGTTGGACAGAGATTTAAAGTAACACCAGCATTCTTTAAACTAGTTTTTCTTTTTAAGTATTACAATTATTAAATTGCCTATTTGACGCAGATGAAGTCGCGAAACCTAAAATGGCCTTCTAAACAGACGAAGTGAATGGACAGCTACCGTCTCCTCACGCCAGGGTGAGTCTGGGCCGCCACCACCCGAGTCACGAAACCAGGGGCGGTGCGCGTTTCCGCCCAGGACTCAGGAGACTGCAGCAGCGCGAGCGGCCGCGACCTGGGCGGTTCCAGGAGGCGGAGATGAGACGCGACTCCCGTAGACACGTGATCTCCTCCAGCCGCCGCTTCTCGCGACCCAGATCTGTCCCCGGATCCCGCGCCCGGCGGGGCGGGCTGCCGGACACGTAGCGGCGGCTCCAGTGCCTGCTGTGCCCCGGTGCCTCTGTAGTCTGCGTTCTCCTTTTGGTTCACGTGCTCCTAGCAATAATTAGCGTTCACTTAGGGAAAATGAGGGTGCAAATATTACTCTCCGGTATAGGACAGAAAAACCTTTGCGCGCGCACGTTCTCTCTGTGTGTGTGTATATTTTACCACTACGCAACTTCAGCTCACCCACCTCCCACCCCCGGGCACACTCGAATAGTTGCAGCAGCTAGGCTGGAGAACTGGGAGTCCCACGGGACAGCTCTCCCCTGGCCGCCAAGGCCTCTTGCCGCCCGCTGCGCAGAGTGGCTGGGCTCTGCGCATCTCTGGCACCTCCGGGTAACTCTCACTAGCAGTGAGTCACGCTTTCGGGATGGCTCTGGGGAAAGGCAGCCCGGCTCGCGCTGGTCTATGCTTCCCAATGCAGAGCGTCGCGGCTGCAGAGCGAGACCGCGCGCGCGCGCGCGCACGGGTTCCCCGCGCAGTGATGTGGCAGCCGCGGCAGGTCGGATCACGTTGCTGGCCCTGTGCTGGTACCCGTTTGAGACAGGATTAAGGAGGGAGGCATTGGAGGTGCCAGCAGTAGTAAACGTGGGCTCTGCACACTCCCGGCGTCGCTTATCACCATGGGGGGGGGGGGCACGGAGACAAGCACAGCTCCACTCGAGGCTCAGAGGGGCGGCTGAGTTTAGCCGGCAAGTGACAAATACTGCATTGCTTTACCGCGGTATCCCCTCTCATGTCATCGCCAACCACGAAACCCGCCCGTACTGCTCCCCGCCGCGTTCCTCCGGGTGCCCAAGAGGCCCCAAACGTCGTCATCTGCTGCTGTGATTAGTGGCACCGCAATTCCGGCTACAGCGGGAAGTTTAGGTGGCCCAGGGACACCGTGTCGGCGAAAGACACTTGGATTGCGACATTCTGACCCAGTGGCTACATTTTTATTTATTTAAAATCCTCAGGAAGTGGATTTCAAGTTGCCCCTTTTAGAGGCAACCCCCAGTCAGCGCCAAGGGGTCCCCCAGGCCACAGAGCGATGAACAAACAAGTCTCCAAATGTTCCCTTCAGGACTGAAGTTTACCCACCGCGAATTCTCTTTCTCTTTCCTTTCCCTGGTCCAAACCAACAGCAGAGTCGGTGGGAAAGCAAAAAAGCCATTCACGTTCCTGAACCATAATGACGGACCAACCCAGGGAGTCACATTCCCAAGCCAAGAAAGCCCAGGCTGCCCCGCACCCCTGTGCCCCCTCCCCTTCCCCCAGCTGACTGCATCCTCGCTGGGAAGATGAATAGCTTGGCCGAAGTTGTTTTTCTTTTCCGGTGGCCCTGATCAGGTGTCCCCGCCCCCTCCTGCCGCTTGCCTTCCCTCTCCCGCCTCTTCTGACGCCCCCTCCCGGCCCGGCCCCTCCTTCCCCGCCCCCCTCCGGGCTGGACCGCGGATGGTACGTTCCGCACGTGAGCTGGATGCTGGTCTGGCCGGCGACGCGCGTGCCCTGTGGCCAAACACTGCCCGGAGTGAGAGCAAACTACCAGCGCAGTGGGGCCGGCGCGAATGTGCGAGTGTGTGTGCGAGTGTGTGTGCGTGTGCGAGAGAGCGAGCGAGCGCGGGGTGGGGGGGACCAACTGCTTCACACTTTCAACACTGCACTGAAGAGGGAGAGAGCGAGCGAGACTGGAGACGCACAGATCCCCCCAAGATCTCCCAAAGCTACTGTCCCACAGATTATAGAACAGAGCCCCAAATATCGAAACAGAGGACACGGACAGCGGTTGAACATGGACGAAGGCATTCCTCATTTGCAAGAGAGACAGTTACTGGAACATAGAGATTTTATAGGGTAAGGTGCACGCACCCTTGCGATTATCTGTCTAGGCTTCGGTTTAGATTTTTTTCTTCTACAGAAAGTGGTATTGAGCGAGAGAGAGCAAAGCCCCTCCCCGAATGGGTGTCTGATGCTGATTTCTGTTTTGCAGACTGGACTATTCCTCATTGTATATGTGTAAGCCTAAAAGGAGCATGAAAAGAGACGACAGCAAGGTACGTGTAAGTTTCCGATGTTTCCCATAACCTGCCTGGTTAGTTAATTAGGGCTATTGATTTCACAACCCGCAAACATATTCCAGCCCCTGAGCCTCCCCAACTGTGAATTTTAAGTGGCTTGCTGGATACTCTCAGGGGGAGATTAGACATCATACCTGAATTTAAATTGCATTCAGAACGGTCCAGAGGAAAAGGGTTTCTTGGGCATAGTTTAATCCTCTAGTACGTTGGGGGAGGGGTATTGTTATATGCAGTAAATGAACGTTTAGCTTATTGTTTTCTCTCTCTCGTGACTTCCATATATTAAGGATACCTACAAATTACCGCACAGATTAATAGAAAAGAAAAGAAGAGACCGAATTAATGAATGCATTGCTCAGCTGAAAGATTTACTGCCTGAACATCTGAAATTGACAGTAAGATGCACATTTGTATTCTTTGCTGCTCGCCAAGGGTGTGTTAATAGTCTGGTACACCTCCAAGAGATATGAAAAATAAATGTAAAATTTAGATGCCTGACTTACAACTTGTGCTATACTGTACAGAGTTTCCCAGAAACTCAGAGTAGGTTCTCTTTAACTGAAGGCAAGAGATCATTTATAACCTGTCTTGTGGAAAGCTAGTAGTATAGAAATAGCAGTACTTCTTTCAAAGTGTTGGCTTAAGTTGCTGTGCCGAATGGAGAGTCAATCAAGCCAAATGTGTGTTTTTAAGTAAACAAGTACCCCCTCCTCTTTTGCACCACTGCAGACTCTGGGGCATCTGGAGAAAGCCGTAGTCTTGGAATTAACTTTGAAACACTTAAAAGCTTTAACAGCCTTAACCGAGCAGCAGCATCAGAAGATAATTGCTTTACAGAATGGTAAGTCATTTTGGGAGGCCAACCCACCCTGGTGAAGGAGGGCAGCCCACAGAGGACCAGTGTTAGGACATTCCCCCACCCCCTTTCAGTGAGCCCACGGTCTATCTCTCATTTGTTAAATTGCTTATACTTTCCCTTCATTGGAAAGTGCCCATTTCCTGAAGCATCCTAGAAGCTTTCAGCAGAACTCGGAGAAATAAGATTTTTATTTAAAGTGGGCGGTCTCACCTCTCCACTTTGGTTTTTCAGCTGGCAGTAGAGCGCCCCCCTGCTACCACCCCCGCCACCCCCTTCTCTGGACAACCAGTGGATTATATCACTCGATTACAGACCAAAACCCAGCTCACTTTAGTCAATGCAGGGTCCACGTGATAAGCAGATGTTTTAACGTCGGTATTTTCCTTTTTCCTTGCCTTCATTCTTCCGCCCCCTCCCCACCCCCACCCTTTCTCACCCTAGGAGAGCGATCTCTGAAATCGCCTATTCAGTCCGACTTGGATGCCTTCCACTCGGGATTTCAAACATGCGCCAAAGAAGTATTGCAATACCTCTCCCGGTTTGAGAGCTGGACGCCCAGGGAGCCGCGGTGTGTCCAGCTGATCAACCACTTGCACGCCGTGGCCACCCAGTTCTTGCCCACCCCCCAGCTACTGACTCAACAGGTCCCACTGAGCAAAGGCACCGGAGCGCCCTCGACCGTCGTCCCCGGTGGGTCTGCCACTGCCCCTTGCCTGGAGCGCGTAGGGCAGAAGCTGGAGCCCCTTGCCCACTGCGTGCCGGTCATCCAGCGGACTCAGCCCAGCGCCGAGCTCGCCGCCGAGAACGACACGGACACTGACAGCGGCTACGGCGGCGAGGCCGAGGCCCGGCCGGATCGCGAGAAGGGCAAGGGCGTGGG